CTTCCTTCCGAGGAGTGGCTGGTGGGTTTGAACCGCCAGCCTTCTGGTTAGCAGTCAAGTGCCTTAGCCACTATGCTACCAGAGCTCCTACACTTTGATTAGTCCTTCACAAAAAAGAAAAAAGTGTTTGCTTTTGATGTACTTTCGATCCAGTTAGGGGGGTTAAAAGAAACAGTTGGCAATAAATTGCTTATCAAAACATACGCTACAATGAAGGGAGTGCGAATCCTGAGAGTACTAAAGAGTAGATTGATGACGGATGAGAAGGTAGACCAGTGGAGTAGCACTAATCCTATACAGAGTCCACAAGTTGATTGATTGGCAGGTGTAAAGAAGCTAAAATAGTAACTATATAATTCATCAGACTTGTGTCAGGGCTGTCAGACAAAAATTCAGTGATAGTAAATATTGAGGCTTAGTAGTCCATACCTGTGGAATGGGTCATAGGCAATATGTAAATGAAATAGGTATGTCTGTGTTCCCATAAAACTTTTTATAAAATCGATTTGGCTAGATTTGGCCCACAGGTATGCAAGTACATGAAAGCACAATTTGGAATTAATGGGATAAGGTGCTATTTTTCAGTCGGAGAGAGAAATTTTCTCATTCTCTTTGAAGAGGTCTTTAGAATAAGTATAGCTAACTGGTAAATTTTATCACTTAGGGTTAGGAAGCAAGAAGCATCCATTACATCTTCTTATTCCACATGGAGCATTTCAAGTAAGAAATCTGCCTACACTGAAGCACAATGATCTGTTGTCCTGGTTCGAAGGTTGCAGAGAGGGTAAAATTGAAGGAATAGTATGGCATTGCAATGATGGCTGTTTAATCAAGGTAATGGCAGGAAAAAAAAAAACTTGTGGGATTATATTGTTTAATATTCTTGCATCAAATTAGAAATGGCACTAAAATTCTATCAAAGAATTGCAGTGATTCTGATTTGTAAGAAATTTAATTTCATCTCCCATGCCACCATTCTTTATATGCAAAAATGTTTTCCAATATGCTTTCTATGGGGCACTGGTCTAGATATGCATCTTAATATTAAGAATTGCACATCTTAGTATTAAGAGTTGCATGATTAAAATCTCTAGAAAATTCTGCATACTACAACCCTCTTGGGAGGTTCATGTTGCACCTTAGTGCTCTCCGAGAGCCTGCACAGTTTAACTGTGCAGCATTGCTCTCAGCTTACTACTTTTAGAGTCTACTGAATGAATAGAGATAACAGTTGATAAATAAAGAATAAATTATATATTTTTGCCCTTTACACCTGTCTCCTATACTTGTCTATTTAACTTCACTGATAAGTGAAATCCATAATGTTCAAACTGGATCTAGTCATATTAACCCCCTGACTTCACACCATTCACTGAAGCTGGAGCTTGGATAAAATTTTTATCTGTTTTTATTACTTCATACATCCCATTGTCTGTTCTTAAAGATTTCGATATATTGAATCTGTCTACTTCTCCCCATCCAATTGGCTATTACTTTATTTTAGGCAAAGATTCATGTTTGAATGAACTGTATCACTCACATAAACATTATCTTTCACTTTTACTCTTGTCCTGTCCATTCTTTACAGGTCACTGAGAAAGACATGTCCTTGCATAAAACTTAAGTGACACTGAGATTGTTCATATCTGGCCCTTCCTTAACTTGGCAGAACTGCCCTCCCCACACACACACATCTCTACATTGTGTATGTTTTGACCATACTTACCTAATCACAGTAAGAGCAAAAAACACCACCATTCATTCTTCAGTCTTGAGGTCTATTACATGATACTCCTTTCGTTTGAATGTCTCTCACTCAGATTTTCAACTGCTAGCTCCTGAACATAGAAACATGCTATCATTCATTTAATTTTTATGAGCTCCTGATGATGTTCCTGGCATATTCCAGTTGCTGGAAATAGAGAGTCAGCAGGAAAAGGTCTGCCTTTTTGAAGCTTACATTCTAATTGGGAAAATAGTAAAAAGTAAACATGTAATGTGTCAGGAGGAGAACCACTATGGGGAAAATAATAAAGGGTAGGATAAGAGACTTATATACATGTGGCAGGCAATATATATTCACTGCCATCAAGTGGATTCATAGTGACCCTATGGGACAAAGTAAATCTGCTCCATAGGGTTTCCAAGGCTGTACATCTTCACTGAAGCTGATTGCCTTCATCCTTCTCCTGCTGGTTGGCTCAAACCCCTACCTTTTGGTTAGCAGCCTTAACCAGTGTGCCAGTAGAGCTGCTTTGGCAGATAACAGGCACTCAAAGTAAAGTAGGTGAATAAAGATAGTATCTGTAGGTTATAGCTAATACCCTTTTTTCTCTTTCCAGGTCCATCGCCATCATCTTGGCTTACATTGGCCAATTCCAGACACTTACATGAATTCAAAACCAGTTATTATCAATATGGACCTGAACAAATATGACTATGCCTTTGATTCTAAAAGTTTGTTTAATTATTTTTCAAAAATACATAATCAGAAATTTGGTAGACTCAAAGATACAATGTTTGATGTATAAATGGAAATATAATTAAGCTTTACGTTGTATTTGAATCTTATATATTCTGAATGTTTAGAAGGTAAAAAATACCTCAAGCTTCCTGTTGTTCAGTGTTGAATTACCAGTACGTTCTCCAGTGTTTAAAAAAAATGAATTTTCTAGTTGCAGATGTCTATTCAAACTTTTGTTCCAAATCAGTGGCTGATTTTAAACTCTAGACTTAAAAATGTAAATTACAGTCAGCTACCAAGCTTGTTCAAAGGCTGTTTGTATCCACTATGGCTGGGTTGTCATATAAAGACAACAATTAAGGCAATAATTATGGATCATTTATTTTTAAAATAAAATAGTTAAAGTGTAATTTATTCTTTATAGACATTTAACAAGATAAGGCTCATCCTCATTACCTATATATATTTTGAATTCAAGAATCTTAGCACATATAAATATATAACTATATATAAAAACCCCAATTTTAAATGTTAAAATGTTATATCTTTTTTAATAACTTAAAACATGAGTGTATGTAGCAAGTCACCACAGCTCACTGCCTATCTGGTTAATCATAACTTAATCTAAATTCTTCAAAAATATACTTTCCTACTAAGTTAAGAATTTCACATTTTATTTACTAAAATTACAATTTGAGTAAAAGGTACAATAAAATAAGGAGAAGGACATTCTGCAGTTGAGAGACTGGCTTAACTGCCAGATGGAATTTTAACTTACAAAGTTAATATATTATTTATATAAGTGGCCATTAATAAATGGGGAAATTAACAGGACTTTCCTCTTCATCTTCATATTGTTCAGAAGCATCTGTAAGACTAGTTAATTCAACTCCAAACTGTTCTGAAAGTTTTTTTAATTTTTCTTCTAAGAGAATATTTTTTTTTACTTCTTCTTTGTAATTATACTTCAGGTCTTCAATTTCTTCAAAAAATGAAGGATCAAAGTTTTCCAGTTCTTTTTTCAGCTTTTTTATTTGCTCCTAATAGAAACATTATCATTAAAAGGTTCATAGGAATATAATACATTTTCTAGATTTAAAAACTAGAGGTTTAATTATAAACATGAGAGTTAAGGCAACCTGAATAAAATCAAATGTAGTTATAAAAGCAGAAGTATATTCTTAACGTTTTGTTAATAAGACATCATTGGTTTATTACTTGTCAAAAAGTATTTCTTCTACAGGTTAAGTTCTCCTTGGTTAAAATTTGTCAATTTTTTTAGATTATGGTGGAACCTAATCTTTCTTCACAAGCCTATTAGGTGCTCTCAGTGAGGCAATCAGAAACACTTGGCTATTCATAGCATGGAAGCTATTTTGGTTAAAAGTTTTGGTTTAAGCTTCATTTATACTTTGTTTACAAGTATATTAAATTTCAATGATCACCTTGTAAATATATTTATTATTAGGGCAACTGTAGGGCTTCTGTGTAAGTACAAGTTAGGCATCTGAGTAAAGGGATAATTTGAAGTTTAAAGACTAGTCGAATAGCCAGAGATCGCTAGCTAACTGTAATATTCATGCCCTTTTGTTCTGTTTACAAAGTGTTAAAAGCAGTAAGAAAGTTCATTTCAAAAATTTCAAAAGGTACTAAAAAAAAAAAAAAAAAAATGCTCCCAATGGACCCAACACTTCAGTTAAGAAAATATTAAAATAATAAACTATTTTTGTGACAAAAAATAAACTTACTTTTGTCTTTTCTATTTGTTTAATCTGAGTTTTTTTGTAGCTCGTTTAATATTTTTAACATGATTCTGTTAGTTGCCGTCAAGCTAGCTGCAACTCATAGCAACTCTCTACAACATAATGAACTTGCAATATCAAGACCAAATATTTTAAGTATAAAATTTAATTACCAGGAAGTTCTAGAATATATACTTAACACTAAGATGGCAATGATAAAAATAGCTTCAACAACTGTTTTCCCAAAACATTTATAGTTCTAGAATCAGATATAATTGAATAATTACCTTCAAATGCTGCTTTTCTAGGTCTGAAGTTTTGAGCTGTGTCTCTATATCTTTTACCTTTTCCTTTAGTTGATCAGTATCTGTCAAAGAAGTTATAAAGATGAGGGTCAACTTTCTCTGATTATGAGTGGGTTCAAGATGAACAATTTGTTTTAGGGAATAAGCAGGAAACTTAAGAAGCTTAGAACCCAGAAAATTGAGCATTTGATGCTGAAATATTTTTTGGGATATGAATACTGTATTTTGGCAATATCAGAATACAGAAAAGCATCTACTGTGTATTAAGGGAGCTCTAGTAGTGTAGTGCCTAAGGCATCTGACTGCTAACCAGAAGGCTGGAGGTTCATACCCACCAGCCACTCCTCAGAAGGAAGACTGGGCAATCTACTTCCGTAGAGATATCGCCTTGGAAACCCAAGGAGGGGTTACTATGAGTCGGAAATGACCGCTGTGAGTTTGGTTATTTTTGGTACTAGGTATTAAAAGTGTAGAGTCAGGTTAACATTTTACATAGAAGAAATTCATATTTTGCAGAAGAATTTGCTGGTACTGCACCTTAATAAAAGTAGACCATTGGGTAACCACTATAAGCCAACCATAAGCTGGTCAAATGTTTTGCTACCCATTATTACATTGGCTGTTCCAGTTAGGCAAATACATTTAGCATGCAATTACTATGCAAAACACTTAGCAGCAGAGTAAGGAATTCAAAGATGAGTAAGACATCATCCTAGTACTTTGGTAGAAAAATCAAAAGTACACAAATTTAGCACAAGAAACTTTGGTTAAATTTATTGGATTTTCCCCCTAGAAGTTGCATACTTCTGATTTTATGAGAGTCAAGAGGCAAATAAGATCTTTGCTTTAATGCCATCTTTGCTAAATAAGTCTTATCTACATTTGAATTAAAGATTACATATGCTGTGTCATGTGGTCTTATTTTGCAGCCATTGAGGAGTAACCTTTAAATAATGCTAAAGTTTAAGGAAAAAAGTGGGCAGAAAGTTTTCATGAATGGGTCAGCCATATGATCCTCTTTAGGGTGTCTTTGGAATGGTCCCCTGATAATAACTTGGAGACAGAAGGATGCAGAGGAGGAAAAGATAATTTTCTTACACTATTTTAAGGGATTAGAATAGGCAGAACCCATCTTTGGAAGGTAGAATAAACTACATTCCAAGGCCTCCCTGGTGTTTGTGGCAAGAGCTAATGAATTTTTAGAGTTGATGTCTTAATCAGTGTGATAATGATCCAGATTTGTACAAAATAAGACAGTAAAAGTATTACATATAGCATTTTCCCAGTGATCTTAACGACTATTTAGCTAGTACTTCAGACTTCATGAAAAGTTTTGGTTTGATTTTGAAAAGCCTTCACAATCTTTTGAAATATTATAAGTATCCTTATCTCCTTCACATAAAAAGAAAAAAAAAAAAACAACTACTGCCATGGAGCCGACTGTGACTCACAGCGACCCCTCCCCTTGGGTTTCCGAGGCGGTATCTCTACAGAAGTAGATTGCCCAACCTTCTTCTGAGGAGTGTCTGGTGAGTTTGAACTGTCAGCCCTCTGGTTAGCAGTCAAAACGCCTTAGGCACTACACCAAGCTCCCATGTTGTTGTTGTTATGTGCCGTCGAGTCGGCCCGGACTCATAGCGACCCCTCCTTGGGTTTCCGAGGCAGTATCACTACGGAAGTAGGATTGCCCAACCTTCCTTCCGAGGAGTGGCTGGTGGGTTTGAACCGCCAGCCTTCTGGTTAGCAGGCAAGTGTCTTAGCCACTATGCTACCAGAGCTCCCATAGGAGACAGAAAATTTGAGGATTCAGAAATTCTCTCTGAGGTAACAGGTTTAGAAATAGTAGAGAACTTGCCTAATACCAACACCAAAAATAGGTCTTTGATACAGTGTCTACCTAATAACACCATGTGGCTCTTAAAAGAGAGAGATGGGTCAATAAACATTTACATACACATACTTTAAGTCACCAGGAGGGGAGGCAGTGTCATACAGTGGTTAAGAGTAGGGAGTGGGGAGGTGTTTTGGAGTTTCAAGATGTACGTTTTGAATCCTGCCTCTGCTACTTTCTAGCTTTTATGACCTTGGGGATATGTTACTTTGAATCTGTTCTATCATGTGTAAAATGTAAACAATATTACCTACCACACAGGATTATAAGAAATTACAGAGTGTTTGTAAAGCATTTAGCATAGTGTCTGGTACAACTGATAAGACAGCCTTAATACAAAGTAGCAGTAAGACTAGATGGATGCTAATTAAGCAAGTTACATGAAATATTTAAAGACTGTTCAAATGTAAAGTGGTATATTCTTTAGGAGAAGAATTTGGCATTTCCATCAGATTATCAAATAATAGCATGATTAGAGTAAGAGGTTTACCATAGTATTTTAATAGTAGAAACCTGGAAACAAACTAAATGTCCATCAAAAGAAATTATTCAGTTTGGCATACTGATGCAATAATATACTCTGGAATTATTAAAAGAGAGATCTGCATGTACAGATTCCCATCTATAAATTGTTAAAAGTTGAAAAAGCTACAAATACGTATACCTCAATGAATCCAAGTTTACATGACCCTCCCAAAAATGCATGTATGTACATATATACAAAATAATGTGTGTGTGTGTGTGTGTGTAGTATACATATGCACATAAGAAATAGGGAGTGGTTAGTAATTATTTCTGAAGGGAAATGGGAGTAGAAAGATTTTACTTTGTAAAAGGAGAGAAGAATGTGGGCAAGGTTTATTTGTTTATATTTTTAAAATCAATAACCACAAAATGACAATTAGTAATATTTAGAAGAAATTCTTCAGAGGGCTTAGAAAAGTGTATACTTAGAAACTGGAAACAACAGACCTAGTATTCATTACTTAATATTGTTTCTTGATAAAATCTGTTAATACCCAGATGGAACAAGAGTAGAAAAAACACTTGGCTTACTTGTTACTCTATAGACAAAGGGCCCACAGGGAATATTTTTGTTGCAGGGAGAAAAAAACAGTGCTAAAACGGATTGATTTTATAGTAAGACAGTTAGCAGAGTCTTTGAACAATGGGAAAAAAAAGGCAAACCCTAATTTTGAAATGTGGGTTAGTTAACTGTGTATGAAATACATTACCAGGTATAGAGCTTTCATTGCCACTTTGGTCTCTGTTACCTTCTATCTGGTGCATTAATTCTGCTTTTTCTTTTTCCAGCTGTATATTAGCCAATCTAGAACACAATAATACATTAAAGAAGAAGGAAAAAAAAGACATCACAATGTACATGGACATTTCTTACGGACTAGTGACGTACAGTGCTTAGAACTTGCTAATATTTATAAAGGCACAAATTTACTCATTTTTACTCTCAATGCTTCAATGAACCATTCTGAGAGTATGAAATAAAAATTCTTATCTTTTTTTTTCTTTTTCAATTTTTTTTATTGTGATTTGGGTGAAAGTTTACAGAGCAAATTCACCTTCCATACAGCAGTTCATAATACACTTTGCCTCATGACATTGACAGTTTCCCACAATGCAACAGCTCCCCTCCCACTTCTTCCCCATAGTTACCTCTTTCCTGTGTCCATCCCCCCGTGCACTCTTGCCCCCTGAGCTATGTCCCTGTGCATACACAGCCCTTCTATTCGCCCATGATTGTTCTCTCCAAGGAGTGTATCTTCCTAGTTTAAATGTTCACCTCATATGCCTGTCTTTGGTTTGGCTGGAAGCCACAGGGGCCATAGTCTTAGTGGTTCCATCAGGCTCTATCAGACCAGCAAGCCTGGTCTCTCTTTCCCCCTCCTTCCCCCCAAAAAAATTTATTTCTTAATATCTAATATGATGTTATTTCAAAGTAAGTTTTCTATAGAAGGAGCCTAATGAAAATAGGTTACACTGACTCCTGGAATTAGAACCCCCACTTCCTTCATTAGCATTTTCCCTGGGAAAATTAACATTTAATACATTCTGTGCTATTACAAAAGTGGAAATACTAGGATTGGGGTTAGAGTTTTTTCACTATTGATTTTGAAGACTGGCACTAAACCACTTGCCATTGAATCAGTAAAACAAGAGTTTATTAAGCAGTGTAGTTGAAAAATCCTAGTTCCCAGCTGTAGCAAACATGGTTGCATTAGAAAGAAAAAAAAAAAAAAACCTAATCACATGAGCATAGAATAGTACCTCAGAACTTGGAGCTCTCGGTTAAGGCCTTGTTCTGTCTTCGCACCTTCAGGGACATGTTTGAGAATCTCAATCTTTGGACACAATGAAAAATTAGAAGATACATGGAAATTTGAGGTTTTATAAAGAGCCACATTTTCAATAAAGCATAATATTAAAAAGTGAGTTTTCAGAAGCACACAAGGCTTACCATTAACAACCAGCAATCAAACTCCTAGCTACTACCTAACCAAATTGAAAATTTCAGCCTGCACGAGCATCTGCAGATGACTGTTTAGTTGGTTTATTCATGATTGCTAAAAACTGTACACAACCAAGAAATGAATAGGTGAATGGATAAACTATTATAACATCCATGTAACATTGTATTATTGAGCAATCAAGCTATGAAAAGGCATGGGGAACCTATGAAGTGGAAACGACTCATTGGAATTTAACTACAAAGTGAAAGAAACCAGTCTGAAAAAGCTACATACTATATGATTCCAACTGTAGTGACATTCTGAAAAAGGTCAAAAAAATCAGTGGTTGCTAGGAGTTGAGGGATAGATGGAGAGGGATGAATAGGTGAAGCACAGTTTAGGGCAGTGAAACGTCTACATAATGTTGTAATGGTTAATAGAATTATGCACAGGAGAAAGATGTGGCAGTCTCTTTCTATAGAGATTTAAAGCCTTGGAAACCTTATGAGGCAGTTATCTTCTGTCCTACAGGTTGCTATTGAGTCGGAATCACTTGACGGCAGTGGGTTTGGTTTTGGAATATATTATGCATTTATCAAAAACTAGAATTATACAACACAAAGAGTGAACTCTATATAATATGGCCTTTAGCTAGTAACGTGTCAGTATTGGTTCATCAATTTTAACATGTACCACATAACTGCAACATGTTAGCAACAGGAGAAACTACAGGGGAGAGAAGGTATTTAAGAAAAATCTGTACTTCTAATAATGAATTAAAAGCATACGTAAATTCTGACAGTGTTTTTATTCACCATTCATTCAAAAATTATTTACTACTATGTGCCATATTTCTGTATAAAGAAGAACTGACATAAGGATTGGAGGAAGACTCATTAACCACCTGAGTTACGCAGAGGACACAACTTTGCTTGCTGAAAGTGAGGATGACTTGAAACACTTACTGATGATTATTGAAGACTATAGTCTGTAGTGTGGAGTACGCTTCAATATAAATAAAACATAAATCCTCACAATGGGACCAATAAGCACTATCATAATAAATGGAGAAAAGATTGATGTTGTTGAAGACTTCATATTACATGATTCTACAATCAACACCAAGCAGTAGTCAAGATATCAAAAGACATATAGCATTGGGCAAATCTGCTGCAAGAGATCTCTTTCAAGTGCTGAAGAGCAAAGACGTTTCCCTGAAGACTAAGGTACACTTGACACAAGCCATGGTATTTTCAGTCGCCTCATATGCATGTTGAGAGCTGGACAATGAAAAAGGAAGACTGAAGAAGAATCGATGCTTTTGAGTTGTGGTGGCGGCAAAGAATGAAAGTACCATGGACTACTGGAAGAAGTAACAAGTCAGTCCTGGAAGAATGCAGCCGGAATGCTCCTTGGATGCGAGAATGGCCAGACTTCATCTCACCTACTTTGGTCCTGTTGTAAGAAGGGTGCATTCCTTGGAGAAGGATATCATGCTTGGTAAAGTGCACGGCAATGAAAAAGGAGAATGCCCTCAACAAGATGGATTGACACAGTGGCTCCAACAATGGGCCCAGGTATAGCAAAGATTGTGGGGCTGGCACAGGACCAGGCAGTATTTCGTTCGGCTGTACATGAGGTCTCTATGAGTCAGAGACGATTCAATGGCACCTAACAACAAAAAAACATGCCAGGCATTGTCTACATGCTAAGGATCGAGTAGTGAATAAAACAGGGGAAGTTCCTTCTTGCATGCTCTTTATTTTTGGTGAAGGAAGATAAACAATGAACACTGTTGTGATGCAATGTAATGTGCTAATTAGTACCAAACAGGAGGAAGAACTATAAAACTAATCCAGGGTAGAAGGATAGAGAGAAATGGAGATGTTATGTACTGGTTAGGTAGGACTTGTGTGAGGAGCCTGCATTTAATTTGAGATGAGAAGTGAGGGAGGGAGCTATGAGAATATTTGGGTGAATTTGCTTTGTTTGGGACCATTGAATTTGTTCTGACCCAGAAAACCCTCTGCACAACAGTGAAACACTGCCACATCCTGTGCCATCCTCACAACTGTTGTGCCACTGTGTTACCATCCATCTTGTTGAGGATCTTCCCTTTTTTTGCTGACTTTCTACCAGGTATGACACCATTCTCCAGGGACTAGTCCCTTCAGAGAACATGGCCAAGTACAAGAGATGAAGTCTGCCCATTCTCACTTCTAAGGGGCATTCCAGCTATATTTCTTCAAGACAGATTTATTCGTTCTGCTGGCAGTCTGTGGTATATTCAATACTTTTTTGCTAACCCCACAATTCAAACACATCAATTCTTGTGCTGTTTTCCTTATTAATTGTCCAGCTTTCATATGCTACATCTATTGAAAATATCATGGGATGGGACAGGTGCATCTTAGTCTTAAAAGGGACATCTTTGCTCTTTAACACTTTAAAAAGATCATTTGCTGCAGATTTTCTCAGTGCAATACATTTATTTCTTGACTGCTGCTTCCATGGGCATTGACTGTGGTTTCAAGTAAAATGAAAAACTTGACAACTTCAAACTTTTCTCCATTTATCACGATGTTGCTTACTGGTCCAGCTGTGAGAGTTTTCTTTCTTTCTTTTTTTTTTTTTCCCCCAGTATATTGAGGTGTGGTCTACTAAAGACTGTGGTCTTTAATTTCTCCATCAGTACGTACTTCACTTAACAGCAATCAAGGTTGTATCATCTGCACATCACAGGTTGTTAATCAGTTCCTCCAATCTTGATGTTGCATTGGTCTTCATATAGTCCAGCTTCTAGGATGACTTACTGAGCATGCAGGTTGGGTAAATATAGTAAAAGAATACAACCCTGACACACACCTTCCCTGATTTTAAACCAAGGAAACAAGTACAAGGGCCCTGAAGCATGAGTGAGTTTGATTGGTTGAAAGGGTTGAATAAAAGCCAATATGGCTAAACCATTATGAATGAGGGGGGTGGTGGTAGAAGAGGAGTCTGTAAGGAAACCAGTTGCCAGACAATTTAGGTTCTTTTATTATTATTATTATTTATTGTGATTTGGGTGAAGATTTACAGAGCTTTTCGCTTTCCATACAGCATTTCACATATACTTTGTCACATGTCATTCACCACAGTTTACCACAATGCAACAGCTCCCCTCCCACTTCCTCCGCATAGTTACCTGTTCCCAGTGTCGATCCCTCCATACTCTCCTGCACCCTGAGCTCTGTCTCTGTGCATAAGCAGCCCTCCCTTCTCCCATGATTGTTCTCTCCAGGGCATGTGTCTACTTGAGGTAAATGTTTAACTCACATGCCTGTACTTTGTTTGG